GTGTCATTTAGGACGCTCCCCATTACCCATTGACCAACAGCTCCCATCTTCTGGACATCAACACTGCGATCTCCAGTTTTTATAGGGAGAGAGACAACCTGAAGCTATATTGTGTACATTAGCAATGAGGGAGTGAAAAATGAAAATGGCTCACATTTTCAATGAATCCTTTGTATTGATTTGCTAGGTCAATATTGATGAGGTCTTTGAGGTAATCGTTGTTTCCCGATGTAATGTGAACAACACAGGCGGGCCACGCCTTCTTCGCCATCTTACTCGTCCCATATCCTACAACCCTGTATGGAAGGCCTCTCTCCCTTCCATTCATATTAGTCATGCAAAAGGGGCACAGGAACAGCTGTCCCTTCCGGACCGACTGATAGCCAATGCAACCTGGACCATCGGGCTTTGTTTGGCGACATACAACTGCACCGCAGTTGACACATACATGTGAAGATTTCGAGTTGCAGGGGTCACAACACCAATGACACCAAGTACCAAGTGGGTCACTGCGAGAAGATGGCTTGCCTATAGATTTGATCGGAGTTTGAACCTTATCCGTTTCTTGATGCAGGGTAGTATCGATAAAAGCAGCCTGTTGAGCCGCAGCAGACATATTCCACTGGCGAGGAGTTGAATTGGAGTTTCTGAGAAGATCACTAGGTGGACATGTTTTGGGTGGCATTATTAGATACACAAAGAAAATGGTTTAGGAATGATTCTCATTCAGGGTCCAACTGGTGTGGTGGAACGTGTGAAAGACAGCACTTCACACTCCGACCGGAGGATTCCATAGGCCACTCCTGAAGGACTTATCCTCTAAATTAATATCTCCAAACATGGAGTTGTTTGATTGTCCGGAGTTATCAGCCTTAGATAATCAAATCTCACAAATAGCCAAGTTCTAGTGGGCATTGTGTGTCACTAGTTGAGTTGTTTTTCCCCGTATCAACCTTCATGCTGGCAAAATATTTAAAGGTACAAGTTGTTCATTCACTCTAAGATCATGCAGTAAGTATTGACATGTTTTAAGTCCACGATCACTGTACTTTCATGGCTACTTTGAGCCCCACCTTAGACCCACCACTAAGTTCATAGAGGGTTACTAACAGCTTTATACATCTGATACCTGAGGTTAAATTATTGGTAATCTTCTTGTTCCAATATGTGCTAGTTTTCCATATTGGTTTGCTGGAGAGATAGACAAGATATTCACCATGAGCTTCAGGTATCAATTGATTACCGTTCAATCAACCACCATATGGTCTATCTAAATGGGACCATGAATGTTCCTTGACATCACCTTGCTTGCAAGGTCATGTGCCAACCCGTTAATTCTGTGAATCGTACACTCGAACAAACACCAGCAATTTCCTATTCACCTCCACCAGCTGACAAAGATGTGCAGGAGTGCTGAAAGCAAGGTCATCGTCGGGAACAGCGCCTAGTCTTTGAACCCATATACCAGAAGAATTGAATTTTCTATCAGCTATTATATGAGTGATCACATGTGAAATGGTTAAGTAGTAAGTAAGCCAGTTCGCCATAAAATAAAGGCATAGGTTGGAGCTCTTGGGCCAGACCACTGCTGCATATTAAGCACTATAGAACCCAGCGAGCTTGTTCTGCGCCTCCCGGAACCTTGGAATTTCAGCATCAAACCTATATACAAAAGTATGAGTGCAAATGAAATAGATTGATCTGAGACGGACCGACCATATCCAGTCCTGTTTGTTTGGTACCTTGCGATAAATTTTGTCCTGGGGGACGGACCAGATGCAAATTCCCAGGGCAAGTGCTTCATCAGGAACAATATAGTTGTATCGAAAAGCAGTGGTCATGACTAGATGGGCGTCCATAGTTGGTACTTTTATAATAGGAGAAGTTCCCGCATCCTTGAATGACATTCTCCAACCATTGTGCATGGAGGGGTCCCATGAAAATTGTTCTGAGGATGGGGATGGTGCTGGGCGGGACTGCACTCCTGAAGTATCCAGCAGAATGGACCAGCAGCGACTATCACCTACCCAACGAGTCTCATTCGGAAAAAATGGTGATTCAGAGGGTTGTACGATATCCTGGGGCCTGAACAACGTATACACCCTCCAACCCTTCTTTACACAATTTCCGAGGGCATCTAGACAGAGGCCCGACTGCGGTATTCTCAGTGTCATTCGCTCCTCAAATGTTGCCATAGGGTAGAAAGAATGTGCTGCATCAAATGTAATAATGTTCAAAACGCAAGCTGCAATAAAAAGTATCAGTAGCTGCACCTAGGAAAAAGTATGGTTTGGACACACTGGAGTGAGACTTTAGTATAGTTTCAATAGGGTTGCAGGTAGTCTCCGTGACCTGCACTTTGAGCTCTACAGGCTTTCCGTCCACGATTACAAGTCGCTTGAACAAAATAGCAGTGACAGCAGGATGACCAAGATTGCCTGCTTGGCCTCGGGGGAATCTCTTCTCTGTGCTGTCCCAACCAGCCGAGACATTCTCATGCCAGTCCTTGTGCTGATGTTGAGTGGGTTCAAATACATACCCGACAGACACAAGCCACTCTGACAGCTCGTGAACATGACCTGGATGAGCATAGAGGTCAAGGTCTGAAGCATGGTAGTTCCTGTCCATAAAATGCATGGCGTTGAAGCCTGAAATCACAAGTCCAGTACGTGCTTGGAGAGAGCGAAATGCCAAAGGCTCCGGGAAATAGCGGGACAGATGCCGGTTGATGTTGTACGCACATCGGAAAAAGCGAGTGCATGCTACATACATGTAGCGGCATGTCTGTGAAAGCCACACAAGAGTGCGAGGGCTCAGATGACGCAGAATGAGATTGTAAATGGAGACGGTGCAAAAAACCTGCTGCAGCTGACCAGGCCTAGGCGGCCGGGAGGGTGCAAGTGACTTTGACTTCCACATTAAGTGAGCCGCTGTTAGCCTTTCAAGCTTATTAGACCCCGCTTAAATCTGAAAGTTCATTGTCCGTCTTCCCACGGTTTACAACTCCTCATTTGGAACTGGATGCCGGCCATTAGCTGGTGATTTTTTCAACAACAATAATGTTGGACCACTTCCATATAGATAGACCAGATATGATTCTGCTCCCTTCACCATTTTTGTGTAATTGCGGAACTCGACAAACAAAAGGATCCTGCTTGTTACCATAGGGAAGTGACACGTAGATACAACATCTACCGCCGAGATTCTTCCCTGGCAAGATTGGTAGCGAGTCGAAAGGAGGATGTAGGTGGTATTTGAACCAAAGCCAATGCGTCAAAGGTTGATACGTATAAATGTGGACTGTCATACGTTCAAGGCATGCAGGACTGTTCGTACTACAAGTCATGTATCTAGAAATTATTATACAAAGGTTTTTATGGGTAGACTGCAGGTGTAACTTATGATCTCAGCTAAAAGTTCCAAAATTCTGAGAGGTTGTTTGAATCACGGATTTGAAGCATCGCCCTGGCTTCGGTTATCATCGCGAGGGGGATGATCATCTCCCACATACTTGAACTCCTTCGACCTTACACCTTTGTACTCATATATGACAGCCAGCTGATGGGTAGCTATATCAATGAGCATCCGCCAATGGTTCTCATAGATGATGTAAAAGTATGTTATATAGCTTATTAGTGCGCTACAATATACATGGTTGATCTACACTCATTCTAAGGTTTTTTTGATGTATATCTCTACATACCATAGCAGCAGATCCATTGGCTTGCTGTAGTGTCCTGGTGCTGGGGCCTTCATCAGCCATTTTGTAAAATCCGCCAATGTGGCCCACTTCATTCCAAAGTACTTTTCCGCTTGCTTCTTCAGATGATCATGCTGAAAGATGCTCATGGCAAGTGGCACCACAATGTCTGGCCAGTTGCATCTCTCATCCCCTCTTCCTCTTACCAAAGGCACATGAAGTTCATCTCCACATGTCGGCACGTGGCATTTCCAGCAGATGCCCTTGTGGTTGTTGTATCTGATGCTCTTCTTCCATGTAAAATATTGCCCCAGAGTGGTTCCTGCATCCGACCAGACAGGACACTCATACAGCTTGTGAGGATCTCCAGGATCATTGCCGCTCATATGGCATAGAGTGCATCCTTTGGCCTTCATCTTGTTTAATGCGTTTCTCATTCTATCCACTCGGTCCATCTCCGTGACTTGGTTCTCTGTCCTCAATCTTTTGGAATGCTTGGCAGCCTCTGCAAAGGGATCCGCACCAGACATCTCATTGAAAGTCCGCTTGTTGACTGAGGTCATTTGTCCATGACTGGGAGATGCGGTGATTTGCATGCGCGCACGCCGTTGCGGAGATGGCAAACTTGTGATGATTACGCGTCTCTGAGGTGAGGATGTTGGGAGTGGGCGTGCATGCTGTTGGGTGATTGCCTCTTCTTGACCTGGCTCCTTGCGTTCATCCTTGCAGACACAGCAGAGCTGGTTTCTCTCATCATCTCTGCACTTGATTCCCTTTCCATCTATGTAGAGGGTGGATCCGTAGCGAAGACAGCGCTTCAGACCATGTTCGTAGAAGTAGTCATGGGCATACCACATGCCCTTGTGATCTAGCTCTGATCGGTCTATTTTGATCTTGGGAGGTGATGTTGAAGGAAGCATGTAACATCTGGCAGGAAGTCCATCCCTTCCACTTCGGCCTTGACCCTGAATGATCTCAGACATCTCCAGCGGTGTCTTTAGGTGGATCACCAGTCGGACACTAGGATAATCATTGCCTGTGCTGAATGCGCTTGTGCAGATCATCACTGGACTTTGGCCAGAGCGCCAGTTCTGGTAGTGCAGCAACCTGGAAGTGTCGCTCATATCCTTTGATCCGTTGTAAAACGGCCAGCTTGTCTGTTGGCATTTAGGATACATATATGGTAGTTTGTAGACTGCTCACCCTTCTAGACAGATTTTTTCCATCTTCTATGTATGTCACAAATATCAAGCCTCTGTCTTTGGCAGTCCATCCTAGCTGCTCTTTCTCTACAATCTGAATGACCTTGGCTGCCAGGGTGTGGGACTGAGCTGGTGGCTCCATGATGTACTCCAGCTCCGGTCGGTTGCTGCACTGTCTTATCTCGACCGTTGTAAGCAAAAGCCCAAATAACTCTCTGAGGGCAGGAACACTCAAAAGAGGCATTGAGCCACTCAGGAGTATAATCTGCATGGCGAACTGTCTTATCTCGTGCAGATTACGCATGGACAACCGGAAGTCTTCTGATAGCAGAGCGAGATGGGCTTCATCAAATATTATCCTGCTTACTGGCAGGATCTCATTGAGCTCTGCCAGATATTGTCTCCAAGTCTTGAATCTAGCCTTGTCTGCAGATACCAGGATCAAATTTTTGCCGGGGGACAAAGGTTGTGTCTGGTCATAGACTTGATAGGGAATTCTCATGGCTGTGAGTTTTCTCTCCCAGTCTGTCATCAAAGACTTCAGAGGAAGAACCACCACCACCGCTTTGTCTATCTCCATGATGGCTGGAAGGATGGCCAACATGGACTTTCCTCCTCCTGTCCTGAGCATGGCAATGACATCGGTCTCTCGCTTTAAGGTAGCGATGACTGCTTCTCTTTGTTCTGGAGATATCCATTGGCTTTTGGAATTATTGAGAATGATTTTTATTGTGGCCAGGCCATTGTGACTGATACGGTCTTCCTGGCTCTTCAAAGCTTGCTGATTGAGAGGCGGGTGCGATGCATTGTCACCTGATGATGCTACTTAGCATGAGGGTATACTAGTAGCAGGTTATGTACCGTTGACTATAAGCACCTGTGTCAAGTTCTGACTCATTAGATTGTCTTCTGTGCATCTGCATTAGCATATGATTGCTGTGCTGAGATAGGTCAACCAACCATTCATTGTGTCAGACACATTGGACTCCTCGCTAGTAGGGTAGTCTTTGCAAGTCGATCAGCATGTGCGCATGTTAATGGCGTGATACTCACTGCTTGATTTTGTACAGTCATCAATGCTGCTGGTTTGTTTACTACCTGTATCTTTTAGGCGCAGTAGGGGTCTGATTAGTTTATGCTTATGTTGAATATTGCAGTATGGCTTGCCTTTGGCTTTGGGAGTCTTGCTTGAGCCTTGCTCGGGTCCTTGACTACTGGCCTCTCCATAGATGTCATCAAAATCTAAATCATTGGTGGGAATTACTGCTGGTTGCGGTGGTATGGCTGCTTTCACAGCTTCCTTGATGACTCCTTCTAGCACCGGTGTGAGTGCATCTACCATTCTGTCTGTCAACCGCTGTTCCATGCCAGCCATAAACCTATCCTCCAGCTTGCGTACCATGTGACAAACCATGTCCTCAGTGTCTATGCGAATGTCTGCCTTCAACCCAGGGACTTTGTTGGGAGGCGGGTCTTCAAAGTCTGAGGCAAACCTTCCTGACTCTGCCAACTGTTGGAAGTGGATGGCCCTAGCATCGGTGTATGCTAATTGCAGACCTCCTGGAACTGTGCGCATCAGCAGCTGCCAATTTGTGCTTGCTTGAAGAAATAGAGGCAGTAGATCCTCTGCCCCTCCAGCCAGCATGTCTGGACTAAGACCATATATGCGGTTCTCAGTAGCCCTGCTATGACCAGCTTGAAGGGCCTCTATAGTGTCTTCATCATCATCCTCCAGCAGTTCTTCAGCAAACCGACCTAGCTTGCGTCTGAAAGCCGTACTGATGTGACGCCATGGGTTGACGGTCATACTAAATCCAAGTTTGAGCATACATTCCCTTTTCATTGTGGCTGACAGATTCTCCGTGGTAAACAGCATATCGTTGTTGATGAATATCTGCTTCTGATAGAACTCTTTGATCCATGGCTTGTCTGGATAGCAAATGTATGCAGCAACTTCTGCAAAGGGTCTGGTCAGGGCAAGGTCTTGAATCATAATGTCGGCTGTGACTCCGTCTATGGAGTGAGGGATTAACTTGTCTGTCCCGGTCAGTGCTGTTCCCTTGTGATATGTTCTGAGCATTGTCAGATTCTTTCCCAGCATGACTAGGTTGCGCTGAGAGCGAGTCTGTCAACCATGTGAGCATATGCTTATTTATACTCATCCAGATGAGATGAGATGAGATGTCACCTTGGTATTTCTATAGGTCATGGCTGTTAGTTCCGTGCCACGACCTGGCGCTCCGCTCAGCATCTCGCATCTGGCTAGGACAAGCTTTTGAAAATCTGCATAGTCTCCTAGCCACTGCAGCAGGGTGCTCCTGTTCCACACCAGCTTTCCTTGACGCATGACAGCAAACTGAGCAAAGTGCTTGGGATCACTTATGAGGGCCTTGAGAAAACGGTCGCGATCCTTGAAACAAGTGTTTCTGCGGTCCGACAAGAAACAGTAGCCCACGTCGTGGTTGCTAATGTCGTCCACAATGTTGTCATAGCATACCCTCATCTTGATTCCAGCCAATACCTTGTTCTCCCAGAGATCCACCATTTTCTCCTCCATGGATGCAAATATCTCTCTCAGATCATCTATGTGCACCTTGTTGCCTCGGTACAGCATCTCCATCCATCTCCTGCGATCTACCCACCACACACGAGGGAGACTGACAGTATTGTAGGCAATGCTCGATGCTCGATGCTGAAGGGATCGTATGCCACTGAAAGGAGAGCCGGTCTTCTCTGTGAACCAAGGTTGGAGGGCATCACAAGCAGCTTCATCGTTGCCATTGTATACCTCAGCACTAAGAACCTTCAGCTGTTTCAAACATGCAAGTCGCATGCAGTACTCCACTCTGGCAAAGTCTGGAGTGATAAGCACAGGTTCTTTATGTCGTCCATCAACCTCCAGAGTGTGCAGAATCATGAACCGCTCTGTTGGGCAAGGAATTGTGTTGTCTTCCCCTTTGACCCACTTGGTCATCCAGACAATGGTGAGGACTGCATGTATCTTTTCTGCGGTCTGCTCCCCCTCCCTCAATGCCAGTTCTAAATGTTGCACAGCTTGCATGAGGTCATGTGTGATAGGAACCTCATAATCTTGGCTTCCATCCGCTCTCAGTAGCATGGCTAGGAGACCAACTGTTGAGCGGATGTATGACTTCATTGTTGTGTCCTCTTGATGCCGGTGAAGAGGAGAGTTATTTATTCCACTGTAAACATATGAGTTCAACATACAGGTATAATGATAATGACCAACTGACTCTTTCAATGGATCAGGAGAGTTAAGACGCTGCAAGATCAACTCGTCTGTGATGTCCAACAAAACCAAGGCGCTTTCAAAATATTCTTCCACTGCTTGCATGAGATTTGGCATTGTGTGATCATCTGCCTTTGGTAGAGCTACCAGCATTCTTAGAGCTGCTACATCATAGCCAGCCACATGCTCATGCCACTTTGTTGTCAACAGCCAGGGGCTCACCATACGCTTCTCCTGTGGTACTTGCTCCACTCTGGTCGCCTCTGCCATCTCTTGTCTCATTCTGTCTATGACATCCTGAAAATCACAAGATGGTTCTGCTCCTCCAGCCACCCTCCAAAACCGCTTGTGTGCCCCCATATTGAGCTGCTGCACTTTGCAAGCAGCCCATTGCTCGGGAATTGGAGTAGACTGGTGGTCTGTTCGGTGATGTTGGCTCATGTTTGCTTTGGAACGGCATAGGTATGAGCATAAGTTGCAGGCAATGCCTTCCTGCACTACAAGACCTTTGTAAGCGCTACAGTCTCTGCCTCCAGCTATGGAAGCCGGTAGAGTTGGGGGGACCTTCATGTCAGCAACAGCTTGACAGTATCGAGTTCTGTCCAGTTTGATAGCAGGATGCTTATTTTTTATGTGACCAGGCATGTGATCCGGAGGCAAAGCAACTTGACAGATGTGGCAGCAAAGAGCAGGAATGTCAGGATCTACCACAACGTTGATGAGGTCCAAGTATGGGTGATGAAGTAGTCCATCCTTTGATCTAGTTCAATCATCATATGTGTATGGTAGTTGCGCCACTCACTTGACTGCCTTGCTGGATGACCGAAGTGGCAGGTTCTGTTGATCTAGGCTGGAATGAATATCAGTAGATGATGCATACATACCATGGTGTCTACTCTTACTTGATTATCTTCTTGGATAGTCAGCGTCCTCTTCCTTCTCCCATCATTCATGTCTGATGCTTGGTTGATGTTCATGGTCTGGTCCACATAATAAAAAGATATACATATATGCCAGATTATAGACTTACTTCTTCCAAGTGTTGATTGAGATCTATCGATTGATCCTTGTCTGAAGGCTGTTGATGATGATTGATTTATATATGTGTATGTGCTAATGTATGCCCTTACTTCAATCTCCCCCATGTCAACGTCATGCATATCTCCCGTTTCTTGTGAAATACCATTCTGTTGCTGCTATTTATAGCTTGGTCAGTGGACATGTATGCTAATCTCTTCTCTTACCTGGCTGGACTGTATGGGCTGTGAATCAGGTTGATGTCTCTGTGCATTCTTTTGGTTACTATGAGTCATGATTTCACCATCCTCATATGTTAAGTACCTTGTTTGAAGCTGCTAGTAGAGTGGGAGCGCTCTGTTGATTGTGGTGAGTGGTGACTTTGGTATACATGCATGCTAATCACCGTGTTTGAAACGATTGGCTGGATGGAATGGTTCTGTTGGTTGTGGTCAGTGATGTTTGTGCAAAGGCATGTGTAGTAATTACCTCGTTTGAAGCTGTTGAAGGCTTTTGTGAACTGTGATGAGTGGAGATTTCGGTATACATGCATACTAATCACCGTGTTTGAAACAGTTGGCTGGACGGAATGGTTCTGTTGGTTGTGGTCAGTGATGTTTGTGCAAAGGCATGTGTAGTAATTACCTCGTTTGAAGCTGTTGAAGGCTTTTGTGAACTGTGATGAGTGGAGATTTCGGTATACATGCATGCTAATCACCGTGTTTGAAACAGTTGGCTGGACGGAATGATTCTGTTGGTTGTGGTCAGTGATGTTTGTGCAAAGGCATGTGTAGTAATTACCTCGTTTGAAGCTGTTGAAGCCTTCTGTGAATTGTGGTCAGTGGTGATTTTGGTATACATGTATACTAGTTACCTGTCCAACCCAATGCGACTTTGTATTTCTGAAATGCTTCCTAAGAATCTCCAGAGTTGCATAGGCCTTTTTCCCATCTGCACATCCAGGATCAGAGCAATAACAAGGAAATTTACCCGCGGCATTCTTATAGACAGTGATCTCTTGATCATTGTATATAAAAGTCTCGACGTCTTTCAAGCACTTCTTACTATGCTTGTTGTAGTCTTTAGTGCTGAACTCGAAAGAGCAGTTGAGACAGGTACGCATGCCAGTAGTTTGATGGACAGCAGTGGTAGTGGATCAAGAAGGGTGTGAAGAGGCTGTGCAGAACCCCAGCTAATCTTTTTTTCATTAGTAATCACTAATGGTGCAAGGACCCTTCCCTGGCTCTCTTATTTGTAATCACTGGTCTTTGTACGTCATTTCGGTAGTAGCAACACAGATCATCTTGCTGCGGCTCATCCCTGCTTCCTTGCTTGCTCCATAGCCATGATCCCTATATTCTCGTTGCTGTATTTTGTCTGGCTAGATCTTCAAGAGATATCGCCCTCTTACGCAACTCTCTTGTGTGATATTCACCTGATGCTTGAATGTAGATGTCATCCGCACTTAGTCTTATTTATAACTGGCAAGTTAGACATATCTGGTTCGACTTGCAATCGTGCACGTCATAAAGAAGCCGCTGACTATCATTCTGAACTTCAGAGCTCTGTTAAGAATTTGACCAATTTGTTTTATGCACCAAGAATCGGTATGCAGTGAAAACACACCTAAAGCCCTTCTCCATGGCACACAAGAAAGGCCAGCTGCCTGGAATGGTCCAACGGCAAGACTGGAGTCGGTAATTTAATGGTTGGTTTTAATAGTTTGTGGTGGAGAAGAAGGATTTGAAGAAAATGTGTGTACCTTCCGAAGGTACATGTACATGGACCATCTAGCCTGCATGATTAACATTTATGCTTGGACCTTGCAGTACAAGCTCATAGCCTATAAGATGTATCTGCAGATTCTCATGGACATGGGTCGCAATCAGCAGGCTGTCATATTTGGCTACAAGGGTAAAGGGTGTAAAGAGTCGATTGAAGGAGTGCACTGCAACAAGGAAGGCTATACGGACAGCTATTCCGGAAACGGCCTATTCAGAAACCAAAAGAAACATGTACATTATCTTTGAAGCAGGTTGCAACCAACATGAAGAACAGCCTGGGAAAGCCTTTGATAACTGCCTCTAAATAGCTGAATTGTAATACAACTGGCTGCATGCTTCAGATGGATGCTTACCATCTCTGGTTCAACTCACTATGGAAGTTGTCAGCAAAGGATTCCCAGTCTACCTCAACAGACATCACAAGTCTACACCCCACTTTCTCTTACCAGTCCTCAATCACCCAACATGGCCAACATACATGATGAGTTTGATGCCACCCTTGAGATTCGCTTTGTTCACAGGAAATCCGGGTTCTAATTGAAATAAACTGGTGTGTTAACTATGGAGTGTTAGTTGAGGACAGTCATCTCAAAATAAAGCACAATGGCTCGCCCATGTACTGTGCGAGAAAACTTATCCATAAAGCAAAACTCCTGTAGTTTCAGCTGAGCATTTAGCTATGCAACTGATCACATAGGTTAGAGCTATGTCCAGCTGGTGGTAATAGATGTTACAAAAGGGCTTCATTGCCTGCTACAGCTTAGGGAGCCAACAAGGTGGCTATACTGCAGCAACTGTCAGAGATGCAGATGGCGGAAGTTTCGACATCCTCTGAATGGCACAGCACTTTGAACATGGTACATAGAGCAAAGGATTCAAACCATATATATGCCAGCAAAGTAAGTGAATATCTTGGTCAAGCTGAAACGCCTCAAGCACCTCCCCGTGAGCTTCCTGACTCCATTCGCCATGCAAGCAAGGCATAACAACATGCACAAGCAATGACGCCCAGTGAGAGCTGGTTGTGCTCGGATAGGCCAGGAAATGCTAGCAGTGACTTTCCCATTTTGTATCATGTCGTGTTCTACCACACGAAGTCTCGTCTGCAACGTTGTATCGTCATTTGGACGAAGCTACGACTGAAGAGGAAAAGCAGAGAATTCGCTCTGCAAAGGCACTTGGTGGCATGGCACTTACCCTAAGCAATCCCCCCATTCCACAGTCCGATGCTACCAATGCATCTCTTTCTCGTAGTGCTCGTCGCACGGAAACACTCCGAGCCCTTGTCCAACTTGCACGAGAGAGTGAAGGCTCTAATAATAGGGCTGGGCGTCGCAAGCATGCAAAACTTGCATTGAGTGACGATGACAACATGGTACGCATCTTCTTTCAATGCTCCGACTTGCAACTGTGACTTATAATTACATTTGAATGTTGATTACCCTGTGCTCCCTCAGGAAACTGAGCATGATGATCTTGTTCCACATGACGACATAGTTCTGCACGAAGACCCAGTCCAATGTATGGTATCCATTGGTCGAGCTGAATCTTGGTGATTTTGAGTTTGTCTTACATTTGGTGCCTCGTGGTGTTCTTCAGTCATGCACTTTTTATCGCGCTTGAAGCATGCAAACACATTTTCATGTTTGCAGATTTATAGATCCTATTTTGAAACGTCTTCAGTAGACAGTTGACATTAATACAAGGTTCATAACAGTTACTCTGAAATCGTGCAGTATTTGTAACGACATGAAGGATTTATGATTAGTGCTGCTATATTATCCACTTCTTGCTAGCTATAGAAAGTTATTTGCAGGACGAGTAGCAATCGTCGATCTATAGTAGCTTGCAGCGGGTGTACTGGGTAAGTGATAGCTGATTATAGACCGAATGAGCTAAACACGAATGTAGCGACACATGCCTGGAAAGCCTGTTGTATGAGTATGCAAACACGTACGTTTCACACCCATGATCATGTGAGCAACAACATGATGTTAGGTGTCGTGTACAATCAACCATTGACGTTAGGCAGATCCCAGCGTGCTTGTGGTACTCCATCCAGTTTGAACTGAGGCCATCGAAGGGATTTATGCGTATAGTACTGTACGGTAATGCAGAGGTCGGTATAAACGACGATACGTCAAAGTTAATATCGACTGTAATTGTCTAAGAAGCGTGAAAGGACATATATGGGAGATATATTTAAATGAATAAAATTTGAACGTTTAAACACCATGCGACAGCATCTATTCAGCGCTGAAATGTCTTAATTGCGGACCGTAATAGACGTATTCTGGAACGGCACTTGTGGATTATTGTTTGTACAAATGTGGGAATGACCACTGAGGACATGTATTACTCTATTCCACTATTAAAACGTTGATTACTCTCTGCTAACTTTCTATTCTAAACAACCATCACATCACACACTTATGTTTTCAGCTCCAAAAGCGACGCTGAGAGAGCCAGGATGTCAATCCTGCGTGGCAGAGAACGAGTCATGTAATGCGTATTGTTCAGCATCTGCATGCAGCAGATGCACCAACCGGTGCTCGCTATTACCGGGTAAGTCGTCGCGGAACCTCTGTGTATTATCTACTAACAATACTTGGCAATGTTAGCACCTCCTCCAAGGCGTCGTGGAATCATGTGCGCAATTCGTCGATTCAATCCTCGATGCAATTACTGCAGAGAGATGAGATTCATTTGCCGAGGAAGAGCTGGCGAAGCATGCATCACTTGTCAAAAGCGGTGTAGCAACGGTACGTGACTATCTACGTATTCCTGTTTTATGGTACTCAATCATGTATTTATTAGTTCCAAGGGATGAAGAAGAACCGATTGACGATGCATCTTGCACTGAGGCAGAATCGTCCGACTCCACGGATGGCGAAGACGACTCCACTGACGACGCATCTGGCACTAAGCCTGAATCGACCGGTTCCACACATGGCGACGAACAGCCCATTCCAAACGCATCTTGCACAGAGTCCGAAAGTTCTGACTCTTCAGATGATGTGATCGTTCTAGATCACAAGCCAGCAGACTGGATCGATAGACCGGTCGATAACACCAGAAAGAGACGCAGAGACGATGAATTAACTGTCCTGGAGCACAAGCCTGTGGAATGGATAGATAGGCCGCGAGATGAGAGTAAACGGCGGCGGAAGGACTTGGGGTTGAGTTGAAGGAGTTCTGGCAGCATACTTACTAAAGGTTGGATATGCAATGAATTTATGTATAATTGTAGAGCATGACTTTAAAAGCTTGATTAACGTTCCTTCTATGTAATCTGAAACAATGATGAATAGGGAGTATGTGCTAATACATGCTTAGACACAAGTTGCGCCAAGTAATAAGATTAGTCCACCCCTGCACTAACTCGCAAATGTGTCAACCTTCAACGGAAGTGCGCAGAATGGTAAGTTTTAACTCAAGCTGTCCGACAATACCAAGGATTGGTTTTGCATCGCAGTGAAAGACCCCAGGGCAATCCAGACATACGTGTCTCACAGTGCTACAGAATACATTTGAGGCTTTCTGGAGCGAACGCGACGCGGTCTAATTGACATTGAGGCATGTTTGTTACATGTCACACCTAAATCGATTGATGAACATGTGACACGTCGATAATAGGCCATATCGTCGTTGTTGCGAAGTCCAACAGCGATCTCAGCTAACCAACGTCAATTTGCATATTATTTCTCTGCACACGTCTATAAACATCCGATCGGCATATCGATTACCAAGAATGTCGTACAACAATGCCGGCGATCGTGTACAATACGCTGGAGATCTCAGCGACCTCTCCGAGCGTGTCGGGAAGGACGTATCACAATCTGAAGACGAACGATGTAATATACAGCAGGTATTCACTCCTTACTGTACTGCCCACTACGCGAACTGATAAACACTTTAAAGGGACATGATTCTACATCATTACAACGAAATATTACAGGTATCGGGCACCCCAACAAGCGTGTTAGAACACATAGATCACTGTGGAATGACGGAAGAGGAGAACGACACTCTGTATGTATCAACGTATTACTATGAACTATCACAACCGATAACCAATTGCAATTGCAAGGGAGACGATTTCAAACCATCAAAACGAACTACTGGATATATCAGTCACGCATACAAGCGTTTCAAAAGCGACGCATCACAGTCAACAGAAGAACGAGGAGTACTACACGTGGTATTCATCAAATTATTGACTGTCATACGTTACAGCTGATAGACGATTGCAAGGGAGACACATTGACCTCGTTACAACGAACGAGTGAAGATACATTCTTCAGCAAATCTACGACGGATCTTCAAGACACTATAATACAGCTGGAGCATATGATCGACAATCTCAGGGACGATCGTGAACGCATGTTAGAGAGACATGAGATGGAGCAGCAATGGTTTTTAAGACGGATCGATCGCCTGCTTCGCTGCGCTCGCATGCAGAAAACCCACATCAATAAGTTAGATGAGGAGCTCCGATGTTATCGGGACATTGCTGAAAAGCAGGACGGAGTTGTAGATGGTAATTAGCCTTACAATTTCCGAAAAACCTGTAGTTCAAATCACGTTGTGTTTCTAAGCGTAGTTCATTCATATTGCAGCATTCGAAGTACAAATATCACAGTCGGTAACATGTATCAGAATGCACCGTAATTCAGAGCGTCTATGATATGATAGAAACACCAGAAGGTATATACAAGTTCAAGTTTAAGAGTGCCATAAGCGTATTTTACTCGTAACATGAGTCATTCGATTCACAATTCAATGCATATGATATCTTTATTACGCCTTGGTCCACTAGCACAATTCGTTCATCTCGAATTTCCAGTATTTCCAGCATACTTACTAAAGGTTGGATATGCAATGAATTTATGTATAATTGTAGAGCATGACTTTAAAAGCTTGATTAACGTTCCTTCTATGTAATCTGAAACAATGATGAATAGGGAGTATGTGCTAATACATGCTTAGACACAAGTTGCGCCAAGTAATAAGGTTAGTCCACCCCTGCACTAACTCGCAAACGTGTCAACCTTCAACGGAAGTGCGCAGAATGGTAAGTTTTAACTCAAGCTGTCCGACAATACTGAGGATTGGTTTTGCATCGCAGTGGAAGACCCCAGGGCAATCCAGACATACGTGTCTCACAGTGCTACACGATACATTTGAGACTTTCCGGAGCGAACGCGACGCGGTCTAATCGACATTGAGGTCACCGTAATGCAATGGAAACAATAAAAAAATCATAAATCAAGCATAGGAACTCAGCGTTATTGCCATGTACAGGAATTATAATTAATCTCACTCGCGCGATATTTGAACTTTGATTTTTATCTTGTGATATAATTTTTTGGGATTCTAACATTGTGCCTGCGTTTGACTCCTCCTCGCCAGTCTCGACTCCTGTGTGGTGTTTATTTGTGACCATACTCGTCCTTATTCCTGGTCGGAATTTACTGCTCATTTGACTTCATTTACAATGCACGTGAACGGGTAAAACCACCTGTCTCGAATTTCCCCCCAGTTGCTCCATCTCCACTTGCACAGCACTCGACTTTAGATGTTCCTGCTGTCATTCTATCTTCACCACAGCGGGCTGTTATAACGCCAACACCTCAGATCAAGATCGTGAATCCATTGTACATCAAAATATGGTATCCTGTTCACTGCTGATGTTGCTTAACAGAACTGCTCTCGCTCTTGCTGCATCGCAAATCGTTTTGCCTCCGCCGCCTCCTGCTAATCCATTGCTCGAGCCTCCACCTAAATTCACCGTTACTGTGAAGAAAGGTAAGGGCAGTGGGACCAAGGGGAAGATGCGTCCTAGCCAAACCAAAAACGGACGGTGAGTTGTTTTTTTTCCAATTCGGACTATATCGTTCATAATCTAGTACCACAGGAACCTGTGTGCCTTACGTTGGTTGAAACAAACCAAGTTGAACGGCACGACTGAGGAGTTCAATGCCTACTACAGCTCCCTCACGTCGACACAACGCACGGTGCAGTTCTATACTACTACCTCTTCGAACATTGACTGACACATCCTTCAGGAATATGACCAAGACGCGGTGAATTTAGTGGCAAGCAACATGTGGAACAAGACTGTGTGCGATGGCAATATACACTAGTCCTCTCAATAGGGTTCGGCGTTGCGTTTTGGGCCGCTTTCGTGCTGTTTTCTCGCTGTTTTTGTACTGTTACTACTCCCGCATTCGCATACCAATGATATCATATTTGAGCATAATACAGCATACACGAAGGCAGGCAATTAGGCGAGTCATAATATGCGCTAATGTGCTGGATCGTGAAAACGACACAAGGGAACACGAGGGGAACTGCCCCCACATATAAAAAATCTGCTATTTTTCTCATCATGAGTTGCATTGTGCTGGGCTGTGGCTTTCTTTGCAACGAGCTCTACTAACGTACCTCAACACACACTGGCCTCTCCCAGCACAATCAGTTCTCACTGGGAATGAAGGCCCATAGCCAAATATACATGATGCATGATACTGCTTGCTTTTTGTCTTTACCTTGCTTTTTAGCATCCTCAAGCACCCTTCGTCCGCCATTTTCTTCTCAGCATGACGAGCCTTCTTTATCCCCAGCTGTTCAATCTGTGCCTCGCATCTGTCTTTACATAGAAATAGATAAGTACCAGGACATAGACTAAAGCAAAGGCAATCCTCCAGAGAGCATTTCCACATTGTTAGAGGGCTTGTCACAGCAGCTCGGTACAGCAAATGGCCAATTTTGGTGTGTTTGTGTGTTTGTGTGTTTGTTTGTTTGTGTTTATGTGTTTGGTTTGAGGGTTTGTTTGTTTTACCTGATACCTGATGTTCAACCTCTACCACTTCGTACTTTTATCCAGTGACAAAGCGTTGTGGATGCCTCTCTGTCAAGGGAGGTATATCCTGGAGTCATCCAGACCAATCTGCACCTAACATCTTCCTTTCCTGTCAAGGAGAGAGGCATTCCAGGTTGGCAGGTCTGGGTGGGAAACCATGCACTCATGCATCACAGGGTTCTGTCCTTCCAGATCACTGATATGAGGCAAAACTCCCTGTCAAGGGAGCATCTGATCTGGAGTCATCCAGATGAGTCTTTACTGAGTTAGCTTCTCCTGCCAAGGGGAAGTCAGGCCAGGGTAGGAGAGCCTGTTGGTTTGCTCCCCTGTTTTACACCAACAAAACATCACCCCTTTGCAAATCTTATGCTGAGTCTAGCCAGGCACTACATGGATGAGCAGAGGACTTATGTTGAGGAACAGGCATTAGAACTCTGTTTTTTTTTGCTGTTACCTGATGCACCGAGAACATCCCTGAAACCACCCCTCCGGCGCATAAAAGTCCGGGGCGCACTGCGGCAAGAACGGCGGCAAAGCTGGTAGCTAACAGATGGCACGTCGGACATTGAAAACACACTTGGAGGCTCGACGTTCAACTACAGCAACGATGCCCGATACCTCCAGCTTACTTCAATGCTTCCTAACTAACAATCTATTCCACATTTACATTCATCAACTATTTACATGATAATACCATGTTTCTTCGGTCACACGGCCCACCATATCCAAAGCCCTCGTAGCTAGTCATGAGTGATTCTAGCAACTCACCCTCTCCTTTCCTGCTTGAACTTTACTGGTAGAGGTAGCCCACACCCACTGGGGCTCTGGACAGTGATTATTGGAGGGCGGTAGCTGAGATACGGGGTCCATACGAAAATAATAAGGAGTGATAAGATTAACACGTAGTATTAGACTTACCTAGGTGTTTTGAAAGTCCGCTACCTGGCCGTTTTTTGCCGCCGGACTGCGGATATATCCGCCGTAGCGCCGTACTTTGCGCCGGACAGGTTTTGGCCGGAGGGTTGGTTTCAGTGACCTTTTTGATGCGCCTAGGTAGATAGCAAGTAGGCTTATATAAGCACAGGTTTCCTTACATAAACCAACATTTCTTACAGGTTCCATCAGAACAATTTAATTATATTTGGTAAACCTATACTGGGCGTGAGAACATCTTGACACATATATAATCAGCGCATAGATCTCCTTATCTGCCCCTGAGCTCCATCATGCATCCCGTAGAACCAGACATAGACTCGACTATTTTCGAACCTCAGCATATCTATAGGCCCTCAAACTTTCAAATAGGGGAAGCATCACTTTGTAACTACCTACCCACACCGCCCAACAGCACACGGACTTCACTTGAGGAGTTACAGCATCAACCAGCATCCCCATGCAAGGCTCAAACCCCTGCAAAAGTTGCAGTGCCTCCTCCCACAAAAGCAATCTTACCACCTGACCATCCAACCCCTCCACCATCTCCATCAAGTACATCTCAGGAAACCTACCACTCTATTTTGAGGTCCTTCAAGAACATTGCAGATGGCACAATAACAAGGGTTGTCTTCCAAGATGTTATACCAGCCACATACAACATGGTGTTGGAGACAGCCACAAACAATGGGGATTGGGACGCTGTGAGGTGTGGCACAACTTTGATCAGTTTCAACTCAATACTAAAGACCGTATAGAGTTGACTACAATGAGGGCGTGCTCATTGTACACTGCCCTAGCCTTGGGCATGAAATCCTGCCAGAACTGTTCGATGTCATGAGGCATGCAGGAACATCATATCCAAGGGAGTATCATGGCAGTAAAATCACCCAGGGCGGATCATCAACCATCACCCTAGAAGCTGGTTCAAAATCACCTGATTTCAGCCTGTATGAAGTAAAAGAAAGTAGCAGGCAGGTGGAACAAGTGACAAATGGCATTCCTACCATTGCCTTTGAAGTAGGACATTGGGAGGGAGAAAGAAAACTGACTATGGATGCTGGCAGACTTATATGCCTGTCCAAAGGCATGATACAGTTGGTTGTCACCATTGACATTGATCACGAGGTGGAGAAGCAAAACCACGGGAGACGGAAACTGAAATCTGTTATCTGGACCCATTGGGAGATGGATGCAGAGTATCCTCAGATTGTTGGGAAGGGCGATACCTATGAGCTTAACAAGCTCCTTCCTGAAAGAGATGGAAAAATTATAAAGGATACAGAGACTGTCCAACCAGTACCCGATGCCTACCGAGCAGTAGTGAGATTTGCCAAGATACCCCATTGGGTCAGAGCCTACAAGTCAAATACCTATAAGGTATCTAAGCCAGTTGTTTTCTGTATACAATCTGCTGACTTCAATGGTCTGGAGCTATTCCCAGATCAAGGGATCAGGTCTATCCCAATCCTGTATGGTCATCTGTTCCGTGACCCCCAGGAGAAAGACCTAAAGCGCCCAGCATTTGTCTTCCAAACTGTGGACATCATGGCTACAATCCATAGCCATGAGACTATTCGTCGTGAAATTGATGGCAAAAACAAGAAGATAGATGAGGATGTGGACTCCGTTGACCAGGAGCTACTTAAAAGGTTAAAAAAGCGTCGTTCTGACCAGTAATGGAACCATGATGTTATTACTTAGAAGTCACTGCTCCTTTACTAAACCCAGAGGCTACTATTGGTTGGCTAGAGTTAGTACCTTCCTTGGAAAGATGGAATATTCACTCAATAAACAAGAAGGCCAACATGCAGCCCACAAGAGTACTTGTATGAGACACAATCAAGCTATACGCATTCCTTCAACACTGTGGAAAATGCAAACCAGGTTAGAGCCCATCCAATTTTTAGAATTGCACAGTTGTAAGATACCTGCAAGATTTGAAACCATTCCTTCCCCCAGTGTCAAAACACTGTGCAAGCTGTGTGAATGGCACACATTGGTCATGCTATGTTACTCACAGCCACCATCTATCTGAGCTGTGTCATATAAAGTCACCTTCAGAGATTGGGAGTAAAAATACAATGTGAGAAGAGTTTGGAATGAGGAAAAACCGAACACCAGGGGCCATCGGCGGATAAAAATGACCATGAATTGCCCATCCTTAGACCTGGCGGTGCATCCAGCAGACCAGTTTCAAACTGAACGAAGAGGCTGGATGTCAATAGTCATCAGCAAATCACTGTGTTCCTTTTGTTTTGTATCTGTACTTTATGTTAGTCAAACTCCTTGAAAAATATCACCAAGGCAGCTACAGAATATAAGTGACTGTTTGCAACAAAGGCGCGCAAACATCAGGTCAAATATTTGTATATATTTGTCTTCAGGTGACTATGCGGTTAATTAAATGAAGTCCCCGACCCCTACATTAGTGGAGGAGGGCTCTTGTCGAACACAAAGGTATTTCTCCGACTCCACCCGCTTTATTTGGGTTTGGCAGGGATTGACAAACGATATGAAACATCGTAGCGGCGCGAGCGCCAATCCCCGACTCTGCCGACAAACACTTGTTACTCAGTAGCCTGAATGTGCATCTATTATCAAATAACATGCATAACATTTCGCCCCATAGTCTGTCCCCCCAAGCCAAGCATTTCACACTCTTTCCCTGTGTTTATCTTTCCATGTGTTTCCTTCCCTCTTTGTACGTCATTCACGCACGCTCTTTTCACGCTCTTTCGTTCCCTTGCTGTAGGCAGAGATACAAAGTTGCCTAAGCGCTGACGTACATCACGCATGAATAAATTTTAACCTGTGAATAACCCTTCATAACCGTCCTCCCATGCCATCTGATCAGCTCGTCTGACGTCTCTGGCGATTCTTCGTAACCAAGCTGTATCCTGCACAAAGTATACATTTAATCCTGGACCGTACACCGTTGTCACCATGAGAGCTTCCCGGTGACGCTAAGCTCTACACGTGTTCTGAAGATCAATCACACTCACTGAAGTACGTCTCCATTGTGTGGTGGTCCCTGGAAACATGTGACTCCACCAGGGTGATGTCTGACGTCCACGTCTAGCATGCCGGTATACTGTGGTTGATTCGACTTCCCACACCCTCAGACGTCTCCCGTGTCTCTGAAGCACTGTCCCACATACAAAGTAGGTGAATCTATGAGGTTGGCTCAAATGATCACCTACCAAAGACAAATTCACCCTGTCTGTCGTTATTCCGAGCTACTTCTGGCAGAGTTCCTGGAATGCTGAACAATTTCTGATGGGACTTGGCAATTTGGGTCCATCCATTTCGCACGCAAGTCTAATAAGGTGCTGCATGAAACCTTTGTGAAACTCATTCCAGTGTTCTGACCCGCCCTTTACCATGCCACGTCTTCTGGTTCATCAGTCATCACATTCTCTATCCTACATATCCGACCTTTAATATACATTTGGACAGGGCAACGTCATCGATCAAACACGGAATACAAAAAAAAACATTTGAAGAAGGCAAGAAGCTGGGTTAACCACATGATAATGTACAATCCAAGCAAGCACAACCTCGTCCATGGCATTCAGACCACACACCCAATCATCTCTCATCAGCATCATAGCCCGAGTCGTCGGAGAACTCGACCGTCTGGGATTTCTTGCATGCCTGTTCCTCATCGAGGCCAATGTAGTCGTTGAATGTCTTAGTGGTGATGGAGGGATTGGGCAGGAGCATCAGTTCCTTCAGCATGATATGGTATCTCCTCGTCCCGTTCCTCTCTTCTGGATTTCCGTCCCTTCGGCCTGATATTGTCCACCCGCAGAGGTAGTCAGTGTTGCACTGTATTATATAGGACTTTTCTATATAGGTTGGGGTTATGAAGGGGTTATTTTAGGTCTTTTCATAATATATGCCTCCAATGGAACTGGTTTCATTGGAGGGACTAGGTATATTCGTATATCAACTAGTTGGCATGCCTCCAATGGAACTGGTTCCATTGGAGGGAGTAGGTATATTCATACATCAACTAGTTGATATGCCTCCAATGGAACTGGTTCTATTGGAGGGATGCCTCCAATGGAACTGGTTTCATTGGAGGGACTAGGTATATTCGTATATCAACTAGTTGGCATGCCTCCAATGGAACTGGTTCCATTGGAGGGAGTAGGTATATTCATACATCAACTAGTTGGTATGCCTCCAATGGAACTGGTTCTATTGGAGGGACTAGGTATATTCATACATCAACTAGTTGGTATGCCTCCAATGGAACTGGTTCCATTGGAGGGAGTAGTTATATTTGTATATCAACTAGTTGGCATGCCTCCAATGGAACTGGTTCTATTGGAGGGACTAGGTATATTCGTATATCAACTAGTTGTATGCCTCCAATGGAACTGGTTCCATTGGAGGGACTAGGTATATTCATACATCAACTAGTTGGCATGCCTCCAATGGAACTGGTTCCATTGGAGGGACTAGGTATATTCATAAATCAACTATTTGCATGCCTCCAATGAAACTGGTTCCATTGGAGGGAGTAGGTATATTCATAAATCAACTATTTGCATGCCTCCAATGGAACTGGTTCCATTGGAGGGAGTAGGTATATTCATAAGTTAGAGGTTGTGTGGTATCTACATACCTCAAATATACCTAACTGCCTCCAATAAAACCAGTTCCATTGGAGGTATGCAATGCAATTAGTTGATATATGAATATACCTACTCCCTCCAATGGAATCAGTTCCATTGGAGGCATACCAACTAGTTGATATATGAATATACCTAGTCCCTCCAATGGAACTGGTTCCATTGGAGGCATACCAACTAGTTGATATACGAATATACCTACTCCCTCCAATGGAACCAGTTCCATTGGAGGCATACCAACTAGTTGATATACGAATATACCTAGTCCCTCCAATAGAACCAGTTCCATTGGAGGCATGCCAACTAGTTGATATACAAATATAACTACTCCCTCCAATGGAACCAGTTCCATTGGAGGCATACCAACTAGTTGATGTATGAATATACCTAGTCCCTCCAATAGAACCAGTTCCATTGGAGGCATGCCAACTAGTTGATATACGAATATACCTAGTCCCTCACTTCCTGCAATACCAACACACTCTTCCTCGACCACCCAGGAACAAGATCATCAAAAATAACAAAAATTAATAAAAACCGGGCTGACCCATGCATGAACATCTGGCGAGGAAGTATGTTGAGGAAATGCTGTTAAACAGCTGCTACTCTGCTTTGGCTTCCGCCGACACCTATTCACAAATCTAAAGTTGCTGGCGACACTGTCTACTAATTGTGGCGGTGCTTATGCTGTTACCTTTTCTGCATCAAACACCAGCTCAGCAAACTGGATTTTGCCGATTTCATAAAAGGGTGGGTAGGTCAAGACAATGAGCAGTACGCATGCCTCCTTACATCGATCCTCATGTCATCAATGTGGTATTTTATGTAACTGGGTTGCCGCCAGACATATAAGTACAATGACTAGTATGTTATATGGAAGCTATGATTCATATTCCTCCTGACTGGGCCTTGGCCACAACCCATATTGCTAGTGAATATGTCTCTCGCCAGTTCCTAGCACTGATCGGTGGACGGCCCAATGCTATTCCCCCACTCAAACTAGATTTTGTCATGCTCATGGCATGCTCAAAACTGGCTAGTACCCTCGCCGATGCCTATCGGAACCCTGGTATGACTCTTTTGGCAGCGCCTTATGTGATCTTTAATCTCATCAATATTAGTCACTATCAATTTAGATGTAGTCAGGTATGCAGATGTTCTGCACATGATGGAAAAAGGCATCAACCCTGCTCACGAAGACAGGCTTCTTGCCCGGATGTTCATGATTTTGTGGATATCCCACAAGCAGGCTACTCCAGGTACTGCTCCATGGTCAATACTTTGTAGAAGTAGTATGGAAATTGAATTCTGCTTAATAGAACCGGCACTTCACTGAAGGCTATGTGCAGAGCTGGCCAGGGCAGGCACCACCAAAATAAATGGACATGGCAGGCACTGCCGCAATGAATGGGAGAAGATTAGCAGGTGTTTCACTTCACTTCTACAACACCCCTCACCAGGTGATTCCTCACCAGATATTCTTATATGTAGGCTTTGGTAACTGATCACTGTATTGTGTAATCAGAGAAAAGGGGAAATTACAAGTATTCAGGTATCTACATTTCTTCACCAGGCTGTGCCTCTGCCTGGTCAACTTCATCCAACAAGGATTCCACCACAGGAAGAACCCTCTCATGAACCTGTGCAAGGTGATGCAGGCTAATTAGATCTTTGAAGATCCTTGTTAACACGTCTCTGCTTTCACAGAACGCCATGAGCATCATCCTATTGCTCTCCAACACTTCATCCGGCTTGGGATCCCAGACATCATCTCCTGGGCCCAAGGCGCTGCCAACCATCATCTGTGCCAGATGATCAACTAAGAGATATTAGCATGTGCCATGCTGTGTCAATGAAATACACTTACATTCTTCCCCACAAAGGCGATTCAGAACATCTATTGCTGCACGCTCGGCGTCACCGACCAAAGATTTCAGTGTGGGCCAGTCCAGATGCCCGCTGGTGTGGGGCAATACAAGAGATATGGATGGTCCTGGTGCTGCATCTGGGATTGCAGGCAGCGATCCAACACACAGCAAGGCAACATATGGTGAAGGTTGCGGTACACGAATGAGCTCTGATTGCCACTCCCCAATGGGGGAGGGAGGCTCACATTCAAACCGGAATGCTGTACAAGATGGTCAATACTAACTAAAAGGAGATTATGTTACTTACATCTATTATTGATATCATAACCAACATGCCTTGTATCTTCCTGGGCCGGCACCAGTCCTTGTGGTCGGCGGGGTGACTGCCATTGGGACATTGAAGCCAAGGTTGAATGGCTTTGTTGTTGGCGGTGACGGAGCTAGTGCCGGGGTACCCATGGACTGCACCAGAAGATTGAAGCCCAGATTGAATGGCTTGGGGGCTGGCTGTGCGGATAGAGGCAGGGCGAACCCCAAGTTAAATGGTTTCGGGGTGGGGAGCGCCGGGGATGAGGGCGGTATGGCGGCAGGAATGCTCAAGTTCATGCCAAAGTTGAACCATGGTGTAGGAGGTGCTGCAGATGGAGCTGCGCCAATATCAAGATCCATGCCAAAGTTAAATCTTGGCGCCATCGGTGGCTGTGCAATAGGCAGAGACATGCTGAAATTGAAACCTGAGGGTGTCAGGATGGTGCATTGCTGAAGTTGGGAAGATCAACTCACGTGGGCCACCGACATTCACCAGCATTCCAGCTTCACTGCTATAGGAAGATTCGTCCATTTCCATGGGTGATTCAAATTGTACTTTTGCTTGGTATGGGCGATTGGAAGGATGGGACATGTGATGTTTGACAAGAATGGAGAATTGGAGGGCTTTATCCAACTGATTATATATCTGATCTGGTTGTGGATCGCAGAAGTTGAAATTGTGGCACCTGAACAATGGATTGACTAACTGGCAACCCCCGGACCACGTGATTCTCAAACATGCTTGCTGTGTGTTCGGTGCTAAGAAGCGACTGACTTCAAATTTTGTATAGATATATATTATCAATGCCGTTCTCTCCCATCTTGCAATTATTTTCCACACCATGCCCACCGCTGAATTTTCTAACACTGCCATGGGCGATGCTGCAGAGCAGATTATGAAAGTTGTACAGAAGGCGGCAAAGCTGAGGGATGGTCATCCCGATTACCTCAAGCTGGCTGTGGAAATTGGATATCTGATGGTCAGTGTTCTTTTAATAGCAATGTAGGGTCATGTGTTGACTACAAGTAGTCTACGGTATTTGCCACCCATGGTATGTCTGCAACGACCATCCCGCTGATTGTCCTTTCAGCAGCCATGGAGATGCTGGAGCACCTGGATTCGGTGAAACAATCATTTGCCAGTGCACCTGTATGGGCCAAGATCCAAACTGATGATCCCCAAATCCAACAACATCCTTTGAGGGAGAAGGCACAAAGCATTACCGCTACCAGGCCGCAACCTAATGTGGTGGTGAAAGCAGCCACCGGCATTGCCGGTATGGCGGCCACGGTGAAGGTGAAGCCTAGGCCGAAGCCAGCAAAGCCAATGCCAAAGAAGACAAAAGTGGCGCATGGGTCCCATGAGTCTCAGGCAAATGACGCAGGCCATACTCAAGGGAAGTCACCGCCGGCATATACCTCCTCCCAGAAAGGTAACTTCCTTTGCATGTCTTGCCACTGCTGCAGAGGTGGTGGAAGATTGTATGATCTGACTGGTAAAAAGGTGGCGGCGGGTCAGCACCACATCATTGATTTAGGCAAGCACAAACCAATGCCGGAGGTGGTTGTTCTCTGTCCTTATTGCACATCACTACTTGCTCTCCATCATGAGAGAAAGACTGATCGTCCTCCCCTTCATCCAAGCTTTCCTCAAGGACAGCATGGGCCTTGCTGCGGCAACTGATCCAGTGGATGACTTGCTGATGACTCTTCACTGGCGGCACCCTGTGATGGTCGGATATTACTGCTTCTTCCCCATCATCAGATGATGGATACTCCTCCCTCTCATCCAAGCTTTTCTTACTCTCCAGTAAGTGTTTTGAGGCTTCCATGGCCTTTGGGGCATTATGAGCCTTGTTGTGGCGGCCGCTCAACTGGCGAATGACTTTCTGATAAGACTTGGCTGGCGGCTCCATATCGCCATCAGTATCTTTCCAAGCTTTGAAACAGAAGGTGGGACAAAGCTTCTTTTGCTGCTGACCATACCAGAAATTTAACAGAGTAGTAGCACTGGCTTTGTCCATCTTGGACGGTTCCACAACCTGTATGTCTGCCGGCCAGTAGGTGCCATTGAAGAAATCTGATTGATTCTTGATCAAATCACTCCAGGGCACTGCCGCCTTGACTTTCTCTGTTCCCATGCACATCCCTGTGAAACCTTTAGAATGGTCAATGTTAGGAATGGGATTTCCACCTACTGTAATGCCTGGTCAAGAATGACCGAATGACATGCTGCTTTTCGCCCCGTTTCAAACCCATAGTTTCAGGGAGCATAGGCTGGATGTGACGACCTGTGGAACATTATCATCTTGGACATCTGATAATTGCTCATTGTTAGGACAACAATGAGGACCAGAAGCAGGGCATCTCACCAAATTGTTCCCCAGCATATTGCTGCTATTCCGGCATAAATATCTCATCCCACTTCCTTGTCTTCATGAAGCTTTCGGCGCCGCCAAATTGATCATTGTGGTCATGTCTATGATCAGACATTAGACCTTCGGTCAACAAGAGTCCAAGATGACACTCATGCTCCTAACATCAGTTTGCCTTTGCTGTCCTGCCATGCTAACATCACAAAGACCCTCATCCTGGCCTGTTTGAACATTTCAGTTGCAAAATGCTCTATCATATCAGCACCTTTGGTTTCGCTCAGATTGTCCTGGACTTCAGGAGGAGCAGCTTCATTGTTCCACTTATCTGCAAGAACATTTGCCTCAGCCTTCTCCTCAGTCGACAGACTAGCGAGCACAGTCTTGGTAGCCTCTGGCCACTTGGCAATCATGGCCTCACTCACAGGCATCTCTCCAGTCTCCTCTTGGATACGAGCCTTGTTTTACTCAATTAAAACTTGGTGAACTGTCCATTTCTTGTCATATTTAATGAGAGGCTTTGGGGCTTTCCGATGACATTGGTTGTACAACCACTCCTTGTATGTCTATTGTAATAAATGAATAGCCAGCAAACAGATAGATCATACATTATTTCATACCTTTTTTCGAGCTTTCAATAAGGCTTTGTCCCAAGTGGGAGCTTGAAGGCAGGCTTCCTTGTGTATAGCCTTCAAAATGTGGTACCGTTGTTTACCTTTGACAGACCTCCAGTCCTCTAGGTGGGCCTGGAGGACTGCAATTTCTGCCTTGATCAGAGGGAGCTTGGTCTGCTGGGGCATGATGACAGGAGATTTACTCCTGGCCATGTTACAATGAAATGGATGGTCAGAGAGTTGAAAATTGTCAGTCCTAGACCCTTACTCGGCTCTTTCAGTGCCTTCATGTTATGTACATCTAGCTACGTGATCCACCTGCATACAGACCTGTATTTGTTCTTCTTGTGCAGCATATGATTGAAGTTTTCATAAAGTTTTTAAGCAACACATTACATTAGCTGGGCACCAGAGTAGGATAATCCTGGATGGAGGAGCTAGCATGAACAAGCACTGGGTAGTTTTTACTGGCATGTTTCATATTGTATACTATATATGTTACAATGCATCAATTTCCATAATGTCCAGCTAAAGTTGTTGGTGTTTGTCTTAATCTAGTAGTGAACAAATCCCTAGCTTCAATCATACTCATCTTCAAATCATGAGGTCCTTGGTAACTTTTTTCTGGACAACCTGGAATGTGGGACTTCATCAATGAATTATTATAATGAGCTCAGGAGGATGACCACATCTGTCTTTCTTCATCTTGTGCTGGTGAGACCATTCATTGTTTGGCGGCGGTGTGTTGATATTTTGGCAGGACCGTTACCGGGAGTTAATGAGGGTGGCTAGGCAGTGGCGGCAGCTCAAGCTATTGAAATGGAATGGTTTCGGCCATGAGTCCAAAGATAAGAAACCTGGAGATCTTGCTCTTTTCTGTCCAGCATGTCCCCAGCCAGGCATCAATGTCACATTGCCCCCTGAGGACTAGCAAGATGAAACCAACTCTAAATCTGACCTCCCAAAGCCTAGTTGGCTCTATTCCAGATTCCTGGTCATGGATGGCAACTTCAAAGCGGAGCACCTGTACGCGGCGAATCCCATGGATGAAGTCGCCCTCATGGATGGTTGTGCCTTCATAGTTAGCGATGGAACCTACAAGGCGCATCTCACACAGGCAAAGGATGCCATTCAACAGTCCGAATGCAACAATAATTGTGTTGTAAATCAAGCAAATGCCTCCCGGCACAGACTAGAAGCAACTGGGATCGGTGGTTGTGCATGTGCAAGGCATGGTTGCTTTGTTCCACATGCAATGGTCGATTTTCAGAAGGGAGAAAGGTATGCACATTGACCTTGCCATTGAGACACTGGCAAACAAAGACCAGGCACATGAACATGGACTATGCTTTGTGCGAGGCATTGAAACACAATGCCAGCAGCATTCGGCGTGCACTAACATTCTATGATGTTAACTGCCAGTATCACAAGTATCTCAGAGATCGGGTATCTGACAGCCCATTCTTAGAGCTTGACAAAGCACTGGAAATTGTGCCGGAGATAGGTCTCTGGCATGTGCATGGCCACCAAGATACCTGCTATGTATGATATGCCTCCAACTTTATCACCGGCGCCGCACAAATTGACGGCGAGATCATGGAGACATTGTGGGCTCCATTGAATATCATCTCTTCTTTGGCGAGGGGAATGGGCACACCTCACCAGAAGGAATGCCTGGACTATCAAATGAATGATTGCAATTTCATGAAGATAATCAGGATGAGTGGGTGTCTTATGTCTGGCAATCATAATGGACTCACTGACAAAGTGCAGGCAAGACCCTTTGCCGAAAATTCAGGCAAGCCTTGAAAGGAGTTGCTGAGACACCACCACATTCCAGAAGCTCAATGAGAGCACTGATGCGGCAAAAGTGACACAGTGGGAAGACCAGGACAGACATGCACAGCAAAGCCGCATTGTCAATCCAAAGGCTATGGACATATATGAGGTCCAACTACAAAGAGGTATACAGCAATATTTACTATTTACTTATTTTCATAACACTGACTGCCAGCTAGCACCAACACGAAAGGAACAAGAACTGTAGTTGTTAGTAGCTAATGGTCGGCGTCCTGGGGCGGCATCCCACCGAAAGCCAGCAGTTGGATATTGCTCGCCGATGGGAGAGACTCCAGGGAGAAATTAATCGGTGGTTGGCACAGTGTCTCAGGTTCCTTGGTGATGGGATAGGGGGATGGCAATATCCAGGTGATGGAGGATGAGCTGTTCATGCTTGAGGAAGAAGAAATTGATGAGACGGCAGATAAATTCAGATTATTCGAGCCCAAAAAGACCGTCCTACCCATGCCATCGATCCTTGGCCCAGCACGGTGCTCTGAACTTGGTGCCGCAGATATGATTCATCAAGAACTGGCACTTTGGGAGGGACAGGAAAATGATGCCCTGCAACAATATCAGAGTGCATCTGGCAGACTAAGTGGTTATCTTCCATACCACCATCAGAATGGCGAAGTCCCAAGCCATGTCTACCAGAGCTTGGGCTCAAGTGCATTCAGTTGACAGGGCAGTGGAGTATCAATGCAAGCATTTACTCAAAGTGCTGGACACATCTGGCTAACCTCAGCGCTGCCGATGAATTATTGGAGAGATATCGCCCACTGCTAAAGGGAGCATCTGAAGGTTATCACAGTAGTAGCTGATCCAAATGCAAGAGGACAGAGAAATAAGACATTGGCCTGGTTCTGGTCAATGGATGTGGAGGGGGATTCTGGTAACAGTAATTGGCTTAATGAATGTGAGTTAATTGTGCAGTTGGAATGCACAGTGCTGACATTATACAAAGTTTACCGTGTACATTGGCTTCGTGCCAAGGCATTAAAAGACTGGTAGGAGGAAGAGCACCTCCTAGTGCAGCATGAGATGAATTGGACATGTGATTTCATTATGCATAAATCAGAGGAGTGGAGACGGTTGGGTGACCTCACCAAGGACAAAGTTGGACACCAAGTGTATGCGGCACAGCAGTGCAAAATGTATAAACATTTGTATCAGGATGCCATGGATGCATTCAACAAATCAAAAGATCCTACCAACATAAAGGCAATGTTATCCAAGGTAGAATAGCTGTAGATAGTTATTATGTATGATCTTGTACTATACAATCACACTGTCATCACCGGCACAATGTGTACCGCCGCACCCTTGGTAGCACTGGATAGTAAGTCTGGTGCTGGCTTTCTAATTACTACAATACATGGTAATTGGGGGGCACTTTATAGGGCTTACTCTCCCATCCTTCTTCAAGTATTTTACCAGCCGCTGTCTTAATAACAGAGGGTCTTATATAAAGTCGTGTAAATGTAATGACACCACAATTACACTTTGGATAAGGACTGCTTGCCAGTCCTCGATTAACACGGTCTATGACTTTTCCTATTTCGTGGTAGATAAGTGTGAGTTCTTGGGAGGCTCGCTAACTAATCTTTTTATAAAGATCAACCTAGCCGGAGCTTTACTTTTCTTTATTGAAACTCAAATCTCTTGTCTAGGAATAAGCTTCTAGACACGTAATTTGGTTTCTGGAATGTATTTGCCTAGGAAATCTCCTTCTAGGCTCTGGACTTGGATACTGGAACTAGTGAGACATGGTCTCAAATATACGAAATATGACCAAGATCGCTTGGTCTATGGACACCTGACTGTGAGACAATGGCCTCAAATATACGATATATGTTCAAGATCGCTTGAACAAAGGGGACTATAACTTGACCAAGATCGCTTGGTCTATGAGACTACTAGTGAGACGTGGTCTCAACAATATGA